GGACCCAGAGATCGGATGAATGTCAATATACCGGAGAAGACAAGGCCCCCACCAGAAATGATGGCGCGAGGATATATGAATGAAACCGACGATGAATCGGAAGGAAATTCTGCTTCTGAACTCGATGGAGAGTCTATAATGCTCGCATCTAAATCCTCCTTTGTATGTTGCCTACTCAGTATTGCTAAATTGTACCTGCTAACACCTCTCAGCCACGGAAGAAACGCAAATCTCAATTATCTGAAGGTGTATCACCAGCTACCTCCATGGACTCAATCAACGGCACATCTCCCGGCACTCGCTCACGAGCCGACACGTTCAACACGCCGAATGTGTCCTTAACAGCAATGCCGATAATGGGCCCATCTACAACCTCTTTCACGACTCCTGCTCTTGGCCCACCACACGCTGCTACCCTGCCTCGATCATTCTTTGATGATGGTTCCGCTGCGCTGCTGACATGGAACAGACTCGTCGCAAATATGAAGAAAGCTGTGGATCGCTATCGCGAAGCAATCAACAACCATGATCGTTCCGAGTACGTTCGCCGAGCTGAAGACATTTCCGATCACCTCCGGCTATTACTGGCTGCTGGATCTGGTACCACTGATAATCATTCTGGCCAGCCTTCTATTATTTCTACTAACAAAGCCCTGTATCCCCACTTTCGGGACATGATGTCAAAATTCTCAAAATTGGTCATTTCGTCACACATTGCTGCTTCTGACTGGCCCAATTCGGAGTCATATCAAAAATGTTTGCAGGAGGCGGATGGCGTACTTCTGGGTGTTTTCAGCTACGTCGAGGTCGCCCGTCAGCAGCGTGGCGAGGATATACCGCGATTACTTCCGGGTTTTGTCGTTGGTAGCACTATTGGTGGTAGTTGGCAAAACAACGGGCTTGGATCTAGAGACCCTCTAACGTCCAACTTTCTCGATGAAGATGAGAATATCGTTGAACCTTCCGCGATTTTGGATGCAAAGCTGATGGAGAGACTCGATGATTTGAAGAGAATGCTAACATCTAGCATTCGAAAATTGGAGGAGCATCTCGTACTCACCGACAAAATCATCACTCCTTACAGACACGAACTGATTAGTAACAATGTCTGTGCAGCCGCGCAAAAGGTCCTCGAGATGTTCAAGCCCTGGGTGTCTACGGTTGAATCCATCAACTTGTCTTCTCTTGGCGATACATTCCAAAATCCTCAACTTATCGACTTCGCCAAACAGAAGCAAAGTTTATATGATAACATATCAGACTTGTTGCTTGGATGTCAGGCTGTAGCTGGGCCTTTAGGCGATGAGTGGGCGGAAGTCCGTGGGGAGTCATTGGAAGGGCGGCTAAATTATGTGCGCACGTGTTCGAGATCTTTGGAAACAAACTCGTCTCATATTGGCTTCTCACTACAGCTTCTTGGTGAGCTCGTTCAAACAGCTATGCAGCAGGCTTTGCCTCTCGAAGAGAGGGCGAAGAGTCTAAGGAGAGGTGATAGCGCGCCCTACGAGCGACTCCATCAACGATCAGACTCCCGGAATCCACCACTCCGTCCTAGCCTTGCAGATATTGGTAAGTCCCAAACTTACTCTGAAGGCGATACAGTTCTCCCACCATTCCGAAAGGAGAACTCCAAAGTTAGGAAATTCTTCGGCGAAGAGCCAACTCGAAGAGATGCCCCAGACGAGACACCAGACTGCTTGAAGCTCGACCACGAAGATGATATTTCCTACGATACAAAAGTCCAGCCTCCTATCTTGAAGGGCGGTACACTTGTAGCATTGGTTGAGCAGCTTACACGGCACGACAAATTAAGCTCGGATTTCAACAACACCTTTTTACTCACGTATCGGTCTTTTACGAATGCGAGGGAATTATTCGAGCACTTGGTTAAGCGCTTTCAGGTACAACCTCCTGAAGGTATGCCCCCAGGAGACTATGAGACATGGGTATCCCGAAAACAAAAGCCAATAAGATTCCGAGTTGTCAACATTCTGAAATCATGGTTCGAGCTTTTCTGGATGGAGGATCAAAGTGATGATACCAAAGCTCTCATAGCCAACGTCTACACGTTTGCTCGAGACACTGTGAAAGCTACTGAAACACCAGGTTCTGGTTCATTGATGACTCTCTTAGAACAACGGTTACGGGGGCAGGAAGCTACGGCCAAACGTTTAGTATTGACCTTGAACCATTCCACGCCCCAACCAATCATGCCCAAAAACATGAAGAAGCTTAAATTCTTGGATATCGATGTAACAGAATTTGCACGTCAACTTACCATTGTCGAGTCAAAGCTTTATGGGAAGATCAAACCCACAGAATGCTTAAATAAAACTTGGCAGAAGAAAGTTGGCGAGAACGACCCTGAGCCAGCACCGAATGTGAAGGCTCTGATCCTGCATTCTAATCAATTGACTAATTGGGTTGCTGAAATGATTCTCACGCAACTCGATGTCAAAAAGCGCGTTGTCGTCATCAAACATTTTGTCCTTGTTGCCGATGTGAGTAATTTTTCTCTAGACCACCTTCACTCTTCCTAACCTAATCTAGAAATGCCGTGCTTTGAACAATTACTCAACTCTCACATCTATCATCTCTGCGCTGGGTACGGCACCAATCCATCGCCTAAAAAGAACCTGGGACCAAGTTCCAGCCAAAACCTTGGCGGTATTAGAATCCATGCGTCGTCTTATGGGTAGCACAAAGAATTTTGGAGAATACAGAGAAAGTTTGCATCTTGCCAATCCCCCATGCATACCCTTTTTCGGTAAGTTCTAATTGCTCACCTGATGTACTGTGGCAAGCTAACATCTCTAGGTGTGTATCTTACCGATCTCACATTCATCGAGGATGGTATACCTTCTATCATCAAGAAAACGACATTGATTAACTTTGCCAAACGAGCAAAGACCGCTGAAGTCATTCGCGACATTCAGCAATATCAGAATGTCCCGTACGGCTTACAGCCAGTTCCGGAACTTCAAGAGTATATATTAACCAATATGCAAGCTGCGGGAGACGTACATGAAATGTATGAAAAGAGTTTAGCGGTCGAACCAAGAGAGCGTGAGGACGAAAAGATAGTCAGGTACGTTTTACACTCTTGATAGCAATCCTCTGTCAGAGTATGAAACCGACCTATACTTACACGAATTACAGGGTGTTGGCTGAGTCAGGCTTCCTATGATCGCCCTGCATCACGCAAGTTAGAAGAGATTCTCGACACTCACATCGCTGTGATCGGGAAGCATAAAATTCAATCTACAAGTCACCAATTACCAGTTACCACCACAGATTTATCGTGAAACTGAATTATACTAGATGTCAATATTAATACATGCATTAGCGAACGAAAAATAACTTGTCACTTATCAGGCTTCGTACACAACAGCTTAGAGGTACAACTTAAAGGTATATGTCGCAATCGTGGCGAGATTTGAGGGCACTGGCGGATGGCATGCATCTTCGGTATCCTACGGAGTTTTGGAAATGCCAACCCTAATACCCACTGCGCCTGCTTCGGGCGAGAAGGGAGAGATCGAGGGGCACGTTACAGACTTAGTAGCATGGCGTGGGTGTAATATTTTTTCTTAATGCTACTATCTAGGGAATACTACTGCCGGGTGAGGAAACTAGGCGCAGCAAATGGTGCAGCAGGTCAACGGAGTTAAAATATTTGAGGAAGACATGTAGCACGGTACTTTATCTATCTATTGCCATTATACCGAAACTAAAATTAAAGGCATTTACTTCTACTGCGTTCACCCATAGAAGACCTGATAGATAGAGGTTCTCGATCAACACAGGTAGGTAGATATTACTGCGGAGCTTACAAGCAACACACACATTAGCTTCGAGGTATGTTTGGCAGTATTTCCCTCGGGTATCCGTTGAGATGTGAAGGCTGCAGTTCGACTGGTTGACATGGAATATGGGCAAATCCCAGTTCTCAAAAACGTTCCTTTGTCGATGTGCTATTTGAACACTGCACATAAATAGCAAGATGTGTATCAGACAACAGTGCTTCATTGTCCAGAGTATGTTCAATTATTTAGTGTATCGCATTCCCTGTTTTTGTTTGTCATATCTATTTGGTTCTATATAAACGGCCTCGAGTGAAATGACTTCCACAAGCAATGTGAAAGATTTTCTACCAGAGCAGATCGGCCCTGGTGGGTTGTGAAAACTTGTGTGCATCTAATTTTGAGACTTCTTGATCATTTTCGAATCGAATCCATGGTAAACTCGGCATCTATCCAAGGCTGGATTGCAAAGCTCAAGTGAGCTACCAAGGAGGCAAGTAATTCTTTGTGAAGCTACCCAAACAACGAAATATTGATTTTGGGATCGTTCATGCAGTAACATTCTGATATCATGCTTTGCAACAGTGAGGTCTACAATGCTTGTGATTGCAGCTTATTTCTCGGCAACTAGCCATAACATCGAAAAATTATTCTTTACTGGTTGATTTCAAATATTGCAAAAGCATATTCGAGACCGACTTTTTCCCCGCCCAGCTATTCACCGTGACTCGTTTCAAATCACTTCAGTCTTCGCTACCGACGAGACATGCTCGTTATTAACTTTCAAATTACCTTTCATGTTGAGTTATTTATTGACTAAGTTAGCTCTGGGTATTGTTTCTCTTTTGATCCACCATTCTGACATTTCGTTGATTTCGCTCCGAGATTATAATACTTCCTGAATTTCGACACTCTCTTGACAAGTAAATAACTAGCCCCAAGATTCCATGGCTGCATTGCCCTATATATTATTGCAAATAAACAGTCGGTGATAACGAAAAAGGTCTGTCTCCAACTCACAATGTTCAAGTGAAGAAACTCTGACAGGTAGAGAACATGTTGAGAGAAAAAAGTATCATTATCTTGACAACCGATGAATCCGAACCCGATGAAAGAGGAGATTTGTGAAAAGATGAAAAAAACAAGGTTCAAGATTGCAGGAATAGACTGCTAGAAACACCGCGGAAGTCTCGAGTGATGTTTCTGAAGGCAAACTCGGAGAACATCCGTTTCGTTCGAACTTCGACGGGTGGGGAAACCTCCCAAAATCACTCGAGGCCGACGAGAGAAAATAATGGCAGTTTATTGGGTGATAGAGAATCTGCAAACCCATTCATATTGTTGAATGGGAGCACAGCTAGAAAACGCGACTTAAGTGATACTTCTAGCTTTGATCCTGCAATTGACGAAGCGGCTCTAAAAAGACCAGCGAGGAGAAACCCAAACCTTTACCTAATTTTCCACATCAAAAAGCGCATACATCAGAAAAACTTCTCCATCAAAGACACCAAGCACGGCTTAATAAATCGAGTCATACATACTCAGTACGCCGAAGAAAAGGAAAGCGTGCTTCCAGAAGCGTGAGCTCCAAAACAACCACTCTTAGCGTCGCTCAAAAAACGCATATGAACGCACAGGCACTCTTCGGTACCCCTTGGCATCACGTTGTCTTGTAGAGAAGCAATGTGGATAGCTGGAATGAGATGACATACGACATAGTGAAATAGCGGAGGTCAAAGCAGATAATCACTCTGGGAGAAATGGATGGTGGTCGAGACGGCAAAGGGGCGGATTCATTTGCAAAGAAGCCAGTAGACGAGTTTCGAGTCAAAAGGGAGAAGCCCTGAGTGTGGATAAACTGTTGAGTATGGAAGAGAGCGAGGATCTCAAGAAAAAGTCTGCAAGTATCGTAAGCGCCACACTTCAAGATGAAGAGAGAAAGTAGGAACAAGAACTCGTGAGCAAGATCTCACGATTGAATGGTTCGAAGCTAGTGGTTCCATTTAGGACTCGGAAAAAAGTGAAATGAGTAAAGAGGCCTTCTTCATACCAATAGATGCTTGAGCGATATAAAAGGCTGAAAATCGGGCCAAACTCTTTGTAAGTACAGTCGCTTCATCAACAGATTTCGCCACTGAGATGTAGTGCAAAGAACTTCAAATAAATATGTCCTCTATCCGAGATTAACAACAACGTTCTCACATTACATAGTGACTTTCATCGCATTACATTCTTCTCTCATGCCAATCTTTGGATTTAAAACCCTCCTCTAGTTTTGGCAAGATATAAAAAGGGAAGATGCGTCGGGTGGTTTTGTGTTGAAAATCAAATAATACTACAATTCTAAATCGGCGGATAGACATCGGTTGAAATGAGCAAGCTATCAGGCCAAGGTGGGTGTGATATATGATTTGAGCTGTGTGTGATGAAAGAGTAATTGATGTGTGAGATTTTTGAGTGCCAAATTATCATCCCAATTTATACCAAAGATATGACCGAAACAAGATCACGTAAACAAGCAAAATCCTCATATCCTCCTCGCCACTTTTTTCCAAGTTGCCAAGGTACAAATCTCCAATCGCGAGAAGGAGAAGAGGTCTGATTTTGCTAGATTTCACAGCCAATTGCCGCCCTCAAGTTGGCACAATCCCCATGTCTTACGCACCACGGTCGCGAAGGAATTAGCTGCATATGCTGTAGACATGCAACAAATAATCATGATACTAATATCAGAAAATAATAGATTTTCAAATAATGATCTAATCAACTTATGGGACTATTCGTTTGTAGGCGATATCAGAGAGGGGGGTTGTAACATCTAGTCGCGCTCACTAAAAGCCCGACTGTTGTAAAAACAAGGTTGAGAGCAGATGAAAAGTGGTTAGTGAATAGATTTGAAAGAAAGTAAATAATATGCGAGGGTATGATGAGGATATGATGAGAATATAATGAGGATATAATGAGGATATAATGAGGATATAATAAGAATATAATAAGAATATAATAAAAGTATAATAAAAATATAATAAGAATATAATAAAATATAATAAGAATATAATAAGAATATAATAAGAATATAATAAGAATATAATAAGAATATAATAAGAATATAATAAGAATATAATAAGAATATAATAAGAATATAATAAGAATATAATAAGAATATAATAAGAATATAATAAGAATATAATAAGTACATGATATTAAGTAGCTGAACTAATAGAACTAATACCTACTACATAGCTAGTTACTTACATACCTACCTAGTAAAGCGTGTAAAGTATCGGCGAGTGATGACATTTCCGGCGGAAGGGGCAGGATGGTGCAGATGGGGGTTAGTGGCACGTGACTCTAAGGTTATAAGGTTATATCTAGGTACCTACCTAGTAGCGTTGTCCCAAAGATCGGATGGAGTTCTTTCCGGCAGAGACTAGTTTGTCCAAGATAGGAAGGTCACAATCAAAGGGAATTGTTTTGGGTCTTGAGAGAGACTTTGCAATGTTCTATCTCTAGGTATCTATATCGAAATCAACATCGAACAATAATCAATGGCGAGGTACTTTGGAATTGACTTGTTCTATCTACATTCTGGTGTATGGGAGAAGATACGAGAGTAATGATCAATGATTGTTGTATAATATCATCTATCGTGTGCCGGTCATATACCGGTAGCACCCATCGTACTTGCAGGTGCCATCATGCCAACACTTGGAATGACCGTCACTCAAGGTTTATCACTCGTAAGTTCTCATTCGTTACTTCAACCACCTAAGGTATCGCCACTACCCAGTTCAATTACCTCTTATGATTAGGATTAGGACCAGGACCAGGACCAGGACCAGGACGAAAACCAGGAACAGGAACAGGAACACGTAAAATACCATGTAGTAGTATACTTCGGGAACTACTGAAGCCGCTCCAAGATACTCATTCGGCCGTTGCCAACAAAGAATCGTTGAAGATCGACATGTGTACCAAGTCCAAAAACGAGAAGGGGCTTTCCTCCAGCTTCCTTGCCTTGGAGCTTAAAGTTTGGAAGTGATGCAAGGTGCAAGCCAAGCTCTCCATATTTATTGTGCTAACCATCTGGTCAATACCCCGAGTATAGTAAAGTACCTAGGCGAGCTAGGTGTGGATGTATTGTCAGAACCCCTTACCTCCTTTTACGCTTATCCGTATTGAACCTCTTGCAGCTATCACTTTGTTAATCGGTTTTTGATTATTCAGTAATCTGGCCAATTGTTTGAGATGTCTTTCCCAAATCTCAAACATATCACCAATATTAACAATATTATCATCAATATCACCATTTGCACCATTTTCACCATCTTCACCATCTTCACCATCTTCACCATCTTCACCATCTTCACCATCTTCACCATCTTCACCACTTTACCATTTCCACCAATATCATCTTCCAAGGTAACTTAATATTGGTGACTGAGTAGGAACACAGTATGGTTCAAATCATTCCGGGATTTTGAACATCCGGTCAACACTCTTCCCGAGGCTAGCGAGACCACTAGGTAGACTCGAGGTAGACTGGAAATACCTCAAGTTAGCAATCAACAAAGACAGATGATCCCTTGGCCATTCGAGACTAATCCTACTATCAATATCTTGCAATTCCCCATGTCTCCTTGCCATCATCCCATATGTTGACTTCTTTGGGGTTCGGGAACTATTGATTAGTGTCACGGCCTGGCGTATTGCCGGTCGAATCTATTACCTGATAGAATCAGTTTCGAGGTCGATATCGAGGACCACGGTAGAAAGTCAAAGTATAATTCGGAAAGATTGATGACTAGACAAGCAGTCTGTCATCGTCATGGCAATTGCCAACTCTATATAATTGCTTGTTTATCCTACCATCATCAGTCCTTGACCAACAAACAATTCTGCCTTCCTCTTCGTTTTCTAACCAAACTACCGACATTCAACGATTGTCTAATTCTAATCTCTCTTCCAACTCATCACAAACATCATGCTATTCTCTAGCACCACCATTGTCGCTATCGCTAGCATCTTAAGCGTTGCATCGGCTCTTCCAGCAAAAAGACAAGCAGCGCCAACCGATGCGGACATCCTCCAATATGCCTTGACACTCGAACATCTCGAGGATGCATTTTACAAGAAGGCTCTTAGTGAAATGCCAGAAAAGATGTGGCTCGATGCAAACTTCACCTCTTCCTTCTACACCCAGTTGAAGTATATTGCGCATGACGAAGAAGCACATGTTACCTATCTTCAAAGTGGCCTTACCGCTGCAGGTGCTGCCCCTGTTCAAGCTTGTGAATACAAATTTCCATTCACGGATCCAAAATCATTCGTTGCTCTCGCTTCCGTCATTGAGGGTGTCGGTGTTTCCGCTTACCTCGGAGCAGCAGCCGATATCACAACAAAGGCCTACCTTACCGCAGCTGCCTCTATACTTGTCACCGAAGCTTTGCATCAATCTGCTGAACGTAACGCGAATGGTGAAATTCCAATGGCTAATCCTTTCGCCACACCCCTTGGATTGAACGCCGTCTACTCCATCGCGTCATCCTTTATCGTCTCTTGCCCATCTACCAACGCTGCCTTGCCCGTAATGGCCTATCCATCCCTCGCCCTCAAGTCTGGCTTGCCTACTGCACCAGGCGCCAATGTTGCCCTTGTACCAGAGACAGCTCCTTCCGGGACTTTCTATACTACCTTTGTGAGCGGACTCGATGCTATCGCTGTCGAAAGCCAAGTCGGCAGTGACGGTTTAATCATGTCTGCAGTTCCCATGAATATCTCGGGACAAAGTTATGTCTTCTTGACCAATGACAACTCTGGCACCTTGGCTGATTCCAACATCATTGCTGGTCCAGCTATCATTGAGGTAACGCCAGATTCGCCAACATTCGACTTGTCAACAATTTAAAATAAATGTTTTTTGCATGGAAGACGTATGAATAAAAAATGGTCGTGATTTTTGGAGCCATCCGGTGGTCAGATGATGATTTTAATGGGGTGTGTGCTAAGTACTATTCTATGTTTAAAAACGATACCTCTTGTCAACTTCTTAACTCTGCAATGTATATAATGATATTCAATAAATAAATTTTATAAAAGATGTTCCTCGAGGAAATATTTTGTATTTGTATTGGCATTCGGGTTAACTTTCGATTCATTCACAATCATAAAACAAAGCATTGACCTAATAATTTACTGCCCCCTCTCAACCCCTCTGGAGCCCCCTCCGTCAAACAGTCCACAAAAGAAAAGAAACTTTTCCTTCCACCCCACATTTAGATTGAGCTACAGAACAATCGATATATTGTTTAAAATTAGAATTTACTCGACCCTTATCAAATGGTACAAACAACTGTTGATTCCAATCCGGAGTGTCCATCAATCAGCTGGATAGCTATCCGGAAGGTATCGGCCTGCTGGCCCAATGGCAAGGCGCTTGACTACGACGCACAGAGGAGTTGAATGGCTCTTTAGCTGTTACCGTCACGGAGATTGCAGGTTCGATCCCTGCGTAGGTCAAATAGATGGATGCGATTCGTATTCCTGTTGTTTTGGTGGGATTTTTGTGCAGTATCTGGAGACGT